TCACCAGCCAGTGATTTTGGAGCCGAAGAAAATAGTCTGTCAGTTTCCATTTTTTCTCTATTTATTTGCCCTGAAGTGATGGGGCCAGATACCATGATCTTAGTTTTTTGAATGTTGAGTTTTAAGTCAACTTTTTCACTCTCCTCTTTCACTTTCATCAAGAGGCTCTTTAGTTGCTTTTCACTTTCTGCCATAAGGATGGTGTCATCTGCGTTATCTGAAGTTATTGATATTTCTCCTGGCAATCTTGATTCCAGTTTGTGCTTCATCCAGCCCAGCATTTCACATAATGTACCCTGCATAGAAGTTAAATAAGCAAGGTGATCTTGCTTATTGTCGCATTTGGCTGAAGGTGGTTCTTGCATTTGGCTGAACCCCTAGAATTCTGATTCAGTACACTTGGGGTACGAGCCAAGACTTTATATTTCTCCCTAGTCCCCCAGGGATGTTTGGGGATGTTGAGTTTGAAAACCACTGCTTTAAGGTGCTCTTGAGATATCAGAAAGGTCAGGTTGGCTAGATCCATCTAGATATTTTTTGCCCAGAATTCAAAGGTTAAGCATAGAATTTAGGTTATGTCAAATTAGATAGAGATTGGTAAGAACATGTTGAGGGGGTTTTATTTAAAGCTATTAGAAGCAGAGACCTAGATACTGTTTGGAATATCTGAGTTATGCAACAGAGAGTTTGATTAAAATTGAATTCCTTCTGAGGTACGGAAGCATATCCTCTTTATCCTGCCTGTTTAGCATGTTTTCTCACTTTACCTTGTTTTCTTGAGAGTGGTCCTCTGAGGTTGCCATGTACTGAGTCAGATCATTTTGACACAGTAGCTGTTTTGTTGATCATTTTACTGTGATTAGTTTTACCATAATGTCAGTTTCTTAGCTAACATTTCACTTGGATCATTTTTTATTCCTAACTACTTGATGATGGTATTTTTAAAGTAAAGAAGGGTTTAGATGAGGACAGTGTGGCATTAAAATGTTTAACATCAAAACATTATTTATCACAAGACATTTCATGTAGCCTTCAGACTCTGGCTCCCAAGCTCAGTGTGGTTCTGCAAGCCTCTTACAGAGTCATGGTCCTGTGACATGTCTGGTTCCTCCGAGAATGCCACTCCTGTAGACCTCAGATGCAGGCAGGACAGGGTTCTGGTCCTTCTCAATGTCCCCCCGAAGAGGACCTTGCAAAACCTCGGGTTCTTTTCATTCGTCAACTTATCGAGACCACAACAACTCACTGCAGGCAGTAGAGATCAAGCCCTGAGCCTTTGGGGTGGGAGCACTGACTCCAAGACCCCAGACTACCAGAGCACTGCCCCTAGGGAGTTCCAAATGGTGAGAACTCGCACAGAAGAAACCACATGAATACAAGGCCCAGCATCACCCAACCAGAGTAGCACCTGTGCATGACGCCTCATCTAAACAACAAACAAAATGAAAATACAAACCCAGTCATCAGCAGACAGGATTACCACCTCACTCAGCCTTCCCCATCAGAGGAAAGACAAACAAACACAAAAACTCAGCACAAATCTCACCTTATACCAAGCTTACACAAACCACTGGACCAACCTTAGCAAGGCAGAAACCAAAAGGAAGAGAGAATTCAACCTTCTTCAAGGAAAGAGTTCAACTTTCCTTGAAGCCTGGGAAAAGGAGACCCCAAACACAATAAGTTAAAAAAAATAATGAAAAGGCAGAAAAATACTACACAAATGAAGGAGCAAACTATACAGAAGTCCAAATAAATGAAGGGAAAATAGGCAAACTACCTGAAAAAGAATTCAGAATAATGATAATAAAAATGATAAAAAACCTGGAAAACAAAATGGAGAAAATGCAAGAATCAATTAACAAAGACCTAGAAGAATTAAAGAATAAGCACACAGAGACAAACAATACAATTGCTGAAATTAAAAGTACTCTAGAAGGAATCAATAGCAGAATATCTGAAGCAGAAGAATGAATCAATGAGCTGGAAGATAAAATGGTGGAAATAACTTCTAAAGAACAGAAGAAAGTGAAAAGAATGAAAAGAGCTGAGAACAGTCTCAGAGACCTCTAGAACAATATCAAACGCACCAACATTTGAATTATAGGGATCCCAGAAGAAGAGAAAAAGAAAGGGTATGAGAAAATTTTTGAAGACATTATAGTTGAGAATTTCCCCAACATGGAAAAGGAAATTGTCAAGTCCAAGAGGGGCAAAGAGTCCCATACAGGATAAACCCAAGTAAAAACATGCCAAGGCATATACTAATCAAACTAACAAAGACTAAACACAAATAGAGAATATTAAAAACAGCAAGGGAGAAGCAACAAGTAACATGCAAGGGAAACCCCATATATTTAACAGCTGATCTTTCAGCAGAAACTCTGCAAGCCAGAAGGGAATGGCAGGATATATTTAAAGTACTGAAAGGGAAAAATCTACAACTAAGATTACTGTACCTGGCAAGGATCTCATTCAAAATTGATGGAGGAATCAAAAGCTTTTCAGACAAGCAAAAGTTAAGGAGAATTCAGTACTGCCAAACCAGCTTTACACAAATGTTAAAGGGACTTATATAGTGAAGAAATACAAGAGAAGAAAAAAGATCTACAAAATCAAACCCAAACAATTAAGAAAATGACAATAGGAACATATATATCAATAATTAACTTAAAATGTAAATGGATTAATATTCCAACCAAAAGACACAGACTGGCTGAATGGATAAAAAAATAAGACCTATATATATGCTGTCTGCAAGAAACCTACTTTAGATGTAAAGACACATATAGACTGGAAGTCAGAGGATGGTAAAATAGATTCCATGCAAATTGGAAGCAAAAGAAAGCTGGAGTAGCAATCCTTATATCAGAAAAAATAAACCTTAAAATAAAGAAGATTACAAGAGATAAGGACACTATATAATTATCTAAGGATCAATCCAAGAGGAAGACATAACAATTGTAAATATCTATGCACCCAAATAGGAGCACCTCAATATATAAGACNAGGAATAATCCTTATGTAGGATTTAGAGTATATCTTTTGCACTTTTTTGGAAAATGACTGATTTAAATTTAAGAGTATCTAAGCCAGAAAACACCCAGTGTTTTTGATCAACTCTTTGGAATACTGCCTTTCTCTTGGATTACTGGCTCCTAGCTCAAGTCTCTTCTTTCCTTCTTTGATTGATCTTCCAACACAAGATGGGTAGAAGTCATGAGAAAAACACAGAAGGGAATACAAAATCCATTTTTAAATTAATTTTTATTGGAGTATAGTTCATTTACAATGTGTTAGTTTCTACTATACATCAAAGTGAATCAGTTATACATATAAATATATCCACTTTTTTAAAAAATTCTTTTTCCAAATAGATCATTACGGAGTATTGAGTAGAGACTAAGTCCATTTGTTGAAGTCCTTTTCCATGGGCGAAATGATGACATTAATGTTGTCTGGACTGAAGAAGAACTCAATTTTGAACAAATTGACTAAACATTTATTGCAGAGCTGCTCCATGCATAATACTAGTCTATACATTCCCTGAGGTCCAAAAAAGAAAAAAAAATTATAAAATGCTTGGTGGTGACAGCAGTAGTGGTTCTCATTTACCTGTGTTTTGTCTATGCACCACAGTGCCTGGCAAATAGCAAGTGCTTAATTACTGGAGCAGCTTACATTTATCATTATTCCTTAGCTCATCTAGGCTCTTCTGTTGCTCTGTGGCACCTACACTGTGGAAACCACCGCTTTCCTTTATTCCTCCAGCCAGACTCCAAGTCTTGCACCCCCAGATGTTTTCCTCTGCTCTGTCCTCTTCTCATGCTGAGCCCTAAATCGTCAATTCTGCCATCTCCTGACACCAAACCATCAATGTCTCTATACTAGTTTGCAGATATTTCAAATTCAACTGGTTCCATCCCACCATTTTCTCAAAAAAATGTTTTCTAGTGCTCAAGTTTAGCTTTTCTTTTAGAAATTAAAGAATTTATCTAGTTTATTCTTAAGTCTTGTTCTTTTTTAGAGTATGATCTCATTATTACGGGGTGATCAGGAGGGATGAATGCCAAAACCACTGGGCCTTCCACAGAGTCAAAAGATGGTGTAATTTTGTGAAATGGAGGAAATATGCATTTTGAATGGGATTAAAAAACGTATTACTCACTTCCTTTCCTTCCTGCAGAGAGTACTGAGAACATTAAGTAACAGTTTATGATTGACTCAGCACCCCTCCCTGGAATGTTAGTCATTAAGTGTGCTCTAAATGTGGTGCCTTCAAGGACTGCTGAGATGGGTATGGCCAGCCTCTAGCAGCCGTGAGTATGTGGGGATTAGGAAAGCTGACCCCAAGTCTGTCTGGAATGGTACCACACTCAATTACACTCAATTAATTGTACTCAATATACAATTCCTTTGCAGTATAATCGGATCATTGGCTAAATATTTAGTGATATTAAGAAATTATTGTTCATCATTTTAGGTATGATAATGGCAATTATATTTTAAAGAATAATTCTTTGAAAGATACATATTGAAGTTTGAATCAATGAAATGATATGATGCTTAAGTTTTGCTTCACAATAATCTAGTTCAGAGTGAGAGGGTTAGTGAGGGATGTAGGTAGAAACAAGACTGACCATAATATTTTAATGTTTAAAGCTGGGCAATAGGCACAATGTGGTGGTCCCTTACATTCTTCTCTCTACTTTTGCACAGTTTTGGAATTTTCCATATTGAAAGTGAATTTTTTTAGATGCATGGTCCTGAGCGAGGGTTGAAATCCCATCTCTGAGTAGGAATGGGTGACTATAGTGCACAGACCAGGTGTTCTGGTTGTTCAAGGCTTTAGGCTCATGCAGGGATTCTAGATGCGCTTACTGTTTTCTAGGAGGGACTTTGTGTCACATGTTGGTGAACACACAGCCTGTACCTGATGAATACTGAGTGAGTACACGAAGGCAGAGAGGCATCTGACTCTTTTCTTCCTGTCTTTGCAGCGGAGCCCAGGGGGAATACACCGGGCTGGCCTCTATACGGGCCTACTTAGATGCGAAAGGAGAGACACACAGAACGGTCAGTATCAACCATTTGTTTACCCCTGGAGTTGGGGCGGGGAGAGGGCAGTGGGTTCAACTTTAGGGTCCCTTTTGTTCTGTGGGACACTCCCTCCAAGTCTTCTTGGAAGAAGTTGGGGAAACATATAATCAAGAAACAAATGTCTATGAAGTGGCTATTACAATCCTTGCCTCTAAGACGTTTCAATGGACCATTTTGAGGAAAAACATTTTGAGATAAAAGGCTTCTCAAACCCAGTCTGTAAAAATTAGCCAGTTGGCTGCAGAACTGCTGCCCCCGGGGAGCAAAGGGAGGAAGGGGCGGGAAGGTTGCCATTCCAAGTCTCCCTCCTTGCCTCGGCCCTGGCCCCAGGCCTGGACAGAGGGCAGAGACGGAGCTTTCGTTCTTCTGTAACTCCTACTGTGCCTGAGCACAGTTCTTGCCCTATGTATGCTCAAAAAATATTCATTGAATAAATAAATTCCTTATTAGTGATTCAGCTCTCAACATCAAAAGAAGACATGAAGCAGAGTTCACAGTTCTGTTTCTTTGTTTGCTTTGAGTGAGAGTTTAGTCTCCAGGTCCAAACTGCTTTTGGAGGCCCTTGTGGGACCAGCAGGTGCTAATAGGCTCCACAGACCTCCACTAATCCTGAGGCAGTGCCTTTAGCAGATGAACTAACAACACAGGCTTCAGATTGTGGCCGAAGGAGGCCTGTGTTCCTGGTGGTGTCCACGCTGACCTTGAACTTCATGAACTGTGGAGGTGGCATTAGTGAGTAGGAGTCAGGAGCAAGTCACAGCTGTCTGCCCAGCCCAGGAGGTTTAGAGAAAAAGGGGCCAGAGTCCTTCTGGCTGCCCACAGAAGTAGGGTGTGGTTGGTAGTAGCCCAGTCTTAGTCCATTCGTAGTTTTATTAAAGCTGGAAGATTATTTATGGCTAGTTACCTGGATTTTGCAGGGAAGAATTTAAATACTATTTTACTTCCCTTTCACAAAATGGGAGGAAAAACTTTTTTCTCCCACCTTCCTGATAGTGCAACTTTTTAATTTTTTTTCGCTTGGGTTTGAATTCAATTTTTCTAAGAAAGGGTTAGTTTGGAATTAAAGTTGTTGTTCTTTGGACCTCAAAATCTCAACACTTTCATAGAGTCAGAAAGGAAACATTGGGATTCTGATTTTCCAATGAGAGGCTGCCAGATGACTGACATTTAGAGTTGCCTTTTCTATTTTACCTTCCTTGTATTGAGTAGCCCCTGGAACTCTTTGTTGTTCATGCTCTTTAACCATGAAGTTTCTGGGACTCTGAGAGAGGAAGCCATTCATCCTGTGTTACCATCTCCATGTTGTTCCTGCTTTATGGTGAAGCCGCTGGGATCCACACTATGGTGCTTGTGGAAGGCCTGTGACCAGCTAGTGAGAAAAGGCCAGCTAAAATCCAGGTTCTGTCTGCTCTGTGACGCTTCCCATCCCGCGCTGGTTCCTGCTTCTCCAGGTTGACCCCAGGAACTGTTTGTTAATGTCCAGGAGTTGGGGGCCAAACCAGAAAGGTCACAGAAATAAAGGATGAGAGACTGGGCCTGGGCAGAGTTCTTCTAGGTTTCCCTGGTGGCTCAGAGGTAAAGAATCCACTTGCCAGTGCAGGAGACCTAGGTTCAATCCCTGGGTCGGTTGGATCCCCTGGAGAAAAAAACGGCAACCCAATCCAGTATTCTTGCCTGGAAAATCCAATGGACAGGGAGCCTGGTAGGCTACAGTCCATGGATCACAAAAGAGGTGGACATGACTGTGACTAAACAACAGCAGCAACAGAGTTCTTCTATGACGCATGGATTCTTTTCAGCTCTTTGTCCCTCTTTGTTTTTTCCAGTCCTCCCTTCTATCTCAGTCCCCTTGTGTGTGATGCTTCTCCTGGCTCCACTATTCTCATTGCTATCACTGAAGTGTTAGGAGAGGTTATTCCACTGAAGGACAGGGATGAGTGGGATGCTGCATTTTGAGGGTGTGTGAAGGAGGCAGGGACGACTACCCAGTCACTGAGCTTGCAGAAACAGAACCCTTCAGTTTGGAAATGTTGGCATCCTAAAGATTTTAATTAGACTTTTAGTTAAAGAAGAAAATGATTTATTATTCAAATAATCACGGAGGATTTTTCTGTATCAAAGATGTCTAAGACAGCTGCTCCCATATCATAGACTATAACAGAAACTAGTAAAATATATCCTTTTTTGCAAAAAAAAAAAAAAAATGTGGGGAAGTCATATGTTATAGAACCTCCGGTATTCCTGATGATTTTCTTATTTCAAACTGTTTTGGAAGTTATTTTCACATTTGCTCTTAGGTTAAATTTCAGAGGATCCTAAAATGCAATGGCCAAATTCTTGATTTACCAGTTTAATTTGGGAGACTACAAATTATTTAACAAACACTTATGTAGAAATTGCATGTACCGGGCACTGTCCTAAGCACTTTATAATTATTAACTAATTTGTTAGTCAAATACTAATTCGGGTTTGCTGATCAGTGATTGAATTTCCTATACAAAGGGAAGACATTGACCCAAACAAACTAAGAAAACACCACCAAAACCTGTATGTATTTTTCTTTTCTCAGTTGCCTGAGGCAAAATAGTGGCCTTCGGCTTTTGGATTTGACCAGTGGTAAGAAATTGATTTCCCTTGCAAAGGACTTCTCCTTAATCCTTCACTCATTCGTCAAGTCTTTTGAAGATGAGCTATGTTGGGTCTATGCCAGGCACACTAGGGAGTTAAAAAAACACAGCATCCACCTAAATTGGCATAATGAACCAAAGAGAGTTAGTGTTGGCTAAAATATCAAATCTAGGTTCTGTCCTAGAAGCTAGGACATTGTCCTAGAGGACATTGTCCTAGAACTTAAGGTATTGGAAGTCCCTTACAATACCACAAATTTTAAAGTGAGGATCCACATAGAAAATCAGAAATGTCTAACAGCAACAAATCATTGAAAAAATGACTGAGACATTTTGTTCCTGCTAATTCTTATATCCCTAGACAGCGTATTAAAAAGCAGAGACAACACTTTGCTAACAAAGGTCTGTATAGTCAAAGCTATGGTTTTTCCACTAGTCATGTGCAGATGTGAGAATTGTACCATAAAAAAGACTAAGTGCTGAAGAATTGATGCTTTCAAACTGTGGTGCTGGAGAAGACTCTTGAGAGTTCTGTGGACAGCAAGGAGGTCAAACCAGTTAATCCTAAAGGAAATCAACCCTGAATAGTTATTGGAGGGAGTGATATTGAAGCTGAAACTCTAATACTTTGGCCCCCTGATGCGAAGAAGCTGACTTCTTAGAAAAGACCCTGATGCTGGGAAAGATTGAGGGCAGGAGGAGAAGGGGGCAAGAGAGGATGAGATGGGTGGATGGCATCACTGACTCAATGGACACGAGTTTGAGCAAACTCTGGGATAGTGAAAGAAAGCCTGGTGTGCTGCAGTTCATGGGGCAGTTCACCATTCAAAGAAGTGCTAACTGTCCACAGAAGAAGAACAAAGTAATTTCATCTTTGCCTCTGTTTATAGTTCTCTTTGGGTCACATGCATTTTCCTTAAATAGATGGCTTTGCTGTTTTTGAGGAAACAGCTGTTAAGTTAAATTTCCCCTTAATAAGCCCATTTTTATAATGACCATCTGTTTTTCTTCACAGGGTGACAATATTGGTTCTAGAATTAAAAACAAAAACACAAAACCAGAATTGTTTTCAGGGTCAACATTGCTTCTCCTTACTGCTTTCTGTTGGAGGGAACTTCAGGGTGCCCTTTCCTGTAGTGGGGCATCATCAGATCACACAGAGCATGTGTCTTCACCTTTAGTCACACGATTTGGGGGCAGGAAATGAAAATGATTTAAGCCTGGGAATTTTAGTATTATGCCCACCAACCATTTTCCGTAAGAATTCAACACATCTTTAAGCTCTTGAAATACTCTCTCTTGATCTCTTCAACTTGAGGTGGCACCCCCTCATTCTGAGTTCCTTTGGCATCTGTGGGCACTAGACTTTTTTTTTTTTCTTTGAGAATTTTCGTTTCCCTAATTATACTGGCAACACCAAGATCACTTTAGAAAGAGAGGAGTAGTCTCCTGACAAAGCAAGAAATGTTTCCTCCCAGCCAAGGAGTCTTATTTGAGGTGATGTAGTCCCTGTCTAAAGGGTCCTTTTATTTATTTATTTTTATTTATTTTATTTTTTGATCTGGTTGTGCTGCACAGCATGTTGGATCTTAGTTTCCCTCTCAGGGATCTGACCCACATCCCCTGCATTGGAATTAATGGAATCTTAACCACTGGACCACCAGAGACGTCCCTCTAGACATTTATTTATACAGATGCCAACCTTCTCAGTGAATGCCTTGTGTGAGCACAGGGCAGAAACTGATGGGCGTTTGTGCTTGGCTCTTCTCATGTAAGCAGAGAATCTATTGCACAGAGTAAGTATCCAGTAATGATGACATCACTGGTGTGTTGTCACTGGGAGGCCTTGGGATATGTCTGCCATTGTCTCTCCTGGGTCCCAGCAGAGCCAAGCACTGGAGCCGTGATGTGTGCATTTGAGTCCTAGAGTTTAATTTCTAATCTCATGTTCTTGTAAGGTGCTTTCTACACATTATTGTTGAGGCAAGGTTAGAATAAGCCTAGGCTTGTTTTGGTGTTACTGGGATAAGGACGGAGAGTGTTAATATTCTGAAAGTCTTTAGGGAACAGTATTTGGGGATCCAGGTGTCAACTCCTCTGTTGGACACTGTTTTGCAATATAGTAATGATGAAGTTGTAGCAGATATTAAGGCACCACCAGTTAGTTTAAATAGAGTATATGGCACCTATTGTATTTATGCTCCAAGCATTTCGTAGGACTCTTCTGTCATTATGAACAGCCTGGTGATTTTTCTCTTTCCTTCCTTTCATTCCATTCAAAAGGTTTGCCTCATTCCAAAGTCTGCACATGGGACCAATCCTGCAAGTGCCCACATGGCGGGCATGAAGATTCAGCCTGTGGAGGTGGATAAATATGGGAACATCGATGCAGCTAACCTCAAGGCTATGGTATTCACCTTCCACTTACCAGATGGGGGAGGTCTGGGTTGGAAAGAAGTGGCAGGGATCAGGGATGGTTTAGGTCAACGTTATCTTCTTTTGCATTCTCATTGAAAGACTGCAGTTCCTTCTCTGAATGGGTCTAGGGAAAATGGCATAAAATCAGAAAACCTAGCCATGTCTATAAGAAAAATAAAAGCAAGAGTCACATTTTTGGTCCAGAGTAAAAGTGATCATAGTCTCTTTCATCTCTTCCTTCTTTAACAAGGAGAAGGTCCTTTAAACTGAAATTCCATCCTCTAATATGTGCATGTGTAAGAAACTGAATGAATTATTCATGGTGGTAGTAAGACTAGGCCTTGCAGAATCTGCCTGCTTTCTCCCGCCCAATCTTCTCTCCTTCTCCCATGAACAAACTGGAAGTCACAGGTATTCTCAATCTTTGCACTGGGGATTAAAACAGAAATGTAGATTTTGCAGGTGTTTGTGATGGTCCCAGCCATTACTTGCTGAATTTCATGCAACATTCCATCCTCCTTCCTGCAACACCAACCCCCACCCCCAACCTCCCAACCTTCAGGAAGATGTTGCCTAGCAACCGTATCTGCTTTCCACTGGTGGACTGGAGGCTGCATCTTAAGAGGGAAGGAAATCACTTGAATGGCAATGCAATTTTGTTGGGGTTATTAGGCATGGAGACTGAGAACTTCATGTAACTACCTTCAAAAGGAAGATAAAAACAAACAATACTATTCATCTCTCACATCCACCTCCCCACTTCCCATTGCCCCATAAAGTTTTTACCAATAAATATTCTGGGTCAAAATGTGTAATTATTAAGTCTCTCCAATATAGGATATGATTTTAAATTTTTGTTTGTTCTGTTTTCACGTGAGCCTCTTCTCTGACTTGCTGGTCAAAAAAACATATATGCTTGCCTTCTGTCAAAAGGAAAAATGATGTTTATTTGTTTGTTTTAAATCAGAGCAGAACATTCCTAGTTGGAGTTCTAATTTCAATAGAATGGGAGGGAAAGGGGATAGGATGGATTTGGCAAGATGAGTAGTGAGATGAACTATGAGAATTGACTTGTCTGGAACCAGAAAAAATCTGAAATAATTTTTGAGATGATTTGAACCAAAGGAGGACCACTTTAGAGAATTGAGCCCAAAATATCCAGAAATCTTCTGAACAGTTTTTTGGTCTTTACCATGGAGACTTGGTCTAAAGGAATCTTGTTATTTCTTTAGAATGATTTATGAAGGGAGAAATGGCTATGGACTTCTATTAGTGTCATCCTACATTGAGACAGTTTGAGAAATGAAAAGACCAAGACTTCATCTTTCTTAATCCTTTAAAAAATGAGGAATTGGTTAAGAAAGAAACATTTCCTCTCGTTATCTCTCTCCACCCCTTTTCTGTCTCACAGGTGGATAAACACAAGGAGAACTTGGCAGCCATTATGATTACATACCCATCCACCAATGGAGTGTTTGAAGAAAACATTGGAGACGTGTGTGACCTGATCCACCAACACGGAGGACAGGTCTACCTGGATGGAGCAAACATGAACGCTCAGGTGGGCAATGTGAGAAAATGGTTATTAAAAATAAAATTGTTTTGTCTTCTTGACAGTTGTCTTAAAACATGACACTGAATTCAGAACAGAGACTGACTTTCTATATTGCCAAAGCAAAGTATGTACTGCAGTTTCACTGAGATTACAGACCCTGGTGCAGTGGTAAAGAATATCTACCTGCCACTGCAAGAGACACAAGAGACATGGGTTTGATCCCTGGGTTGGGAAGATCCCTTGGAGTAGGAAATGGCAACCCACTCCAGTATTTTTGCCTGGAAAATTTCATGGACAGAGGGGCCTGGCAGACTGTAGTCCATGGGGTTGCAAAGAGTTGGACATGACTGAGTGACTGTGCTCATGCACAGGCACGCACACGTGCATGCACACACACACACACACATATCCCAAGAAGGTCATGAAGTCACAGGGGATGCTGCAGAGGAAGTAAAAGATTGACGGGAACCAGGGAATGAGCTGAATTTTCTTAGCTTGTTGCAGGGAGTGATCCCCAAAGGCGAGAAGGTCACCTGACTCCCTTCCTGAGGGAATTAACACCCAAGGTTTGGCCCCTGGTGGGTACTGAGCTCCCATGACCTTGGACTAGCTTCAGTTTCATCAGTGTAAAACAGCTGCACATCTCTGGCTCTGAGGGCTGATCCTGACTACTTGCTGGGCTGTGTGTGTGTAGGGAGTGGTCTGTGTGATGTTTTGTTGTTGTTCAGTTGAGCAAGTTGTTTTGGACTCTTCTGCTACCATGGACGGCAGCATGCCAGGCCTCTCTGTCACTCAGCATCTCCTGAAGTTTTCTCAAGTTCATGTCCATTGCATCGGTGATACCATCCAGCCATCTCCTCCTCTGATGCCCTCTCTCCTTCTGCCCTCAATCTTTTCCAGCATCAGTAACTTTTCCAATGAGTCGGCTGTTAGCATCAGATGACCAAAATACTGGAGTTTCAGCTTCAGCATTGGTCCTTCCAACAAGTATTCAGTGTTGATTTCCCTTAAGATTGATTGTTTTGATCTCCTTGCTGTCTGAGGGACTCTCAGGAGTCTTCTCCAGCACCACAGTTCGAAGGCATCAGTTCTTCAACACTTCGTCTTCTTTACAGTCTATGTGACACGTGCCTTTGAGGAGAAGCTTTAGGGAGACTTTGGAGGGCAGGGACTCATCATCTTTTAAAGAGTCTTCTCAACTTCCTCTCCTTTTTTTTTTTAAACCATTTCAGACTCTTTCATTAAAAAATTTTTTAAATTTTTTATTTGGCCCCAGTGAGTGGCATGTGTAGTTTTAGTTCCCCAACCAGGGATTGAACCAGTGCACCCTGCATTGGAATTACGGAGTCTTAACCACTGGACTGCTAGGGAAGTCCCAATTTCAGACTCTTTCTGTTTTTCTTTGCTTCTGTCTGATCTCTTTTGAGCAGTCCAGGGATTGTCTATTGATTCAATAGCATAAATGAGTCTTGTAGTTTTTATCCCATCCACAATTAGCTCAAATGCCAAGGTGGCAGGAACACCTGTTGAATGTTGTGGCTGGTACCAGGATGGTCTCAGGAAAACTGTCAGGCCTCCTTCCTCTCTCTCAGCTCAGTATTCTCTCAGATAGCCTTCCAGCCCTCTATATCCACGTATCCTAAGGGGCCCTTCAGTAAAGTGCATGATACCCAAAGCTAGGGTGCTAGACATGCTGGAGTGAAATTGCCTGTTTCAATAGCAGGGAAAGCCTATATTTCCCCTCCCCTTTCTTGTGGGTGGATAATTAGGAGTTGATGGTATATTCAAATCATACTTTAAATGGTCAATTGCTGTTTCCATAGAAACTGTAGGGCATGCTGCCTGTGGGATGTCGGGTTTGAGCTGCCATCTAAGGCCATTTCTGTGCACATCTCCTCCTGCCTCTCCTCCAGGGGAGCAGGATGGCTGTCTCTCCAGAGCACCCTTTCGAGCTCTTGACTTTTGCTTTTGGTTCTTTCCCTTTGTGACAGGTGGGAATCTGTCGTCCGGGAGACTTTGGGTCTGATGTCTCACATCTTAATCTTCACAAGACCTTCTGTATTCCCCATGGAGGTGGCGGCCCTGGCATGGGGCCCATTGGAGTGTGAGTTCTGGGCCCTGGTTTCAGGATGGCTTTGAAGACTGAGAATCAGAGAGTGGCCCCACACTCTGTTCTTCTCATCGAGGACTTCAGGTGTCAGGATACCTTCACATGTAGTGTGCCTTTAGGGGCTGGATGATGAGCAGTGAATGGGGTGCTTTCAAGGAGCTGAAGCAAACATAGATTTTATTAATCACAGTGTGAATGGCCACACTCAGCTCCCAGTCATGTATAGACAGAGCAGGTTTATTAACAGAGAAATGAATAGTAAGCTTTACTGGAGCATTATGGGTAAGAACTGGTATAATAGCACCTAGAAGGGTCTCTTGGACTTGAATTTAGACTTCCAAGCAGCTTTATTTTTTAAATCAGCTTATGGTTACATCTGAGGGTCTATCATATAACATGGTGGCTAAAATTTATAATACTACTGTATAATTAAAATTTGCTAAAGGAGTAGAACTCAAATGTCCCCCTGCCAAAAAAGGAAATTGGGTATAATATTTTGGACATTTTACAGTCTTAATTCTTATTACATCTGAGATAAGTAAGAAGGAAACAAACCTTATTACTAGAAATAATTGGATGAAGTCAGAATAAGACTAAAGCAATATCTCGGAGCAGTTGGTAACTTTTTAAACTGAAATCAAATCATCTCATGGAAATGATGCTGAGCAACCATTTCCTGAGCGTCTTCCTTTTTCCCAAAATGTGCGGAAGGGGCCAGTCTTCAGAGATATGGGGAGCCTGGCCCCCTTGGTTTTTTCTTCTTTCCTTTTTGATTCCTATTTTCTGTAGTAAGCAGCAGGGTTGCAGTGTCTCAGCTGTGGGGGAGGTGGGGCAACTGATGTTCACATGCTGGCCTGTGATTGTTACCCTATGGGGCATCTCAGCAGCATCCTTCTATATCCCTTAGATGCGTTTGGAAAGAGTGTGGCGCCAGGGCAGGGAGGGAGAGGGTGTGAGGGGCTGGGGTGTCCCCACATCCTCATGAGTCCATAGCTCTGCATGCTGTTCCAGGCTGCCTGCCTCTCCCCAGCTCTCCGCTATGGTTCTTATTTGAGCTGCTAGGATGCTGATGGCTGGTGAGCCACGCCTCCAGCAAAGGAGGAAGGAAGGGAGACTTCCTGAACATATGCCCCTTAGCATGTGCTGGGTCCCTTCCATGTCAGAGTTCCTTTGCTAGAAATAAAGCTTCCTGAGAGGGCCCAGCACCTGCCTGTTTGGTTAGACCAGATCTTTTTAACATCTTCTAAATTCGTATTTAAAAAAATATACAGGAAGAAGCATCTTGTTCCTTTTCTGCCTAATCATCCCATCATTTCGGTAAAACCAAGTGAAGATGCTCAGGCTTTGGGCACCGTCAGCGCAGCCCCATGGGGCTCCAGTTGCATCTTGCCCATTTCATGGGCTTATATTAAGGTGAGGCCTGTTAATGCATGTTAGACAGTTTGGGGGGGGGGGTGATGTGTGGATGGGGACCTGAGACTGCAGATTCCTTCTTGACTTAAAAATGAAGAAATCCATGATCGAGATGCGGTTCAGTGAAAATTGCTGACAACTTGAGTGGAAGAAACCTTCCTAAAGAGATCAGCTAAAATTCATTTTATCTTTTCTTGATCAGGCTGTTTTCCTTTGGGTTCTCTCAGTGGGTTTAACACCAGAGAAACTGACATGCCAGATATATTTTTCCAGACAGAGCTAAGTACCATGAGTTATATGGATGTTCTGGCCACGTCATTTGGTTTCCTGTAGGATTTGTACAGCCCCTCACAAGTGAAAAACAGTGCATATACTAATTATCACACTTGGTTGAGATCCTCGGGTAAATTTTAGGAATACATCTCATTTTGCTTTATATTTCTTGGGAGCCTGGAGGGTAAGATGAAAATAGCAGAAATTCACTTATGTAGAGGTTTTCCCAAAGATCTTTGCCCTTTAGGGCCTGTGGAACTATACTCTCAAAGGTAATTAGACTTTGTCATTCTTTTGTGTTTTTCAAAACAACAACAACAAAAACAACAAAAAAGCCCCCAAAACACATTAGGGTTAGAGTTTATTTTATACAGTTCTTATTTAAACTAGCCTGTCCACCTCCTGAGCTGACAAGATCACACACTGGATAGGAGCACTTCTTCTGCTGGTAATTAGAGCAGTCTTGCCCAACTGGTTCCCCTCCTGAGAGAAAGCGAGAATCTGGTGAAATAAACCCCAAACTCAGCTATGCACATCTTGCCAGATGACTCTCTGGGCTGGTTGTTATTCTTGAACAGTGTGGCATTTATGATTCTTAATGAAAACTTTCTGAGAAGCTGGGACAACAATTCTGTACCCCAGAGACTAAAACCTGCGTTTTCAAATCATCCTCGAGTTGTTTTGCAAATAGCAACAAGAACAATCATCATAAAGGTCTGCTTCTTTGCAAACAGAATCTTAATTCCTAGCTTCCTTTTGGTCTCTCTGAACCTGAGTCATTTGTTATGGAATGTTATTTGGGTTAGAGATGATTTTCCACATATAGAAAATAAATGCCCTAGGGCTGGTTTGGCTGTGTGCCAGATACACCAGACAGACTCAGTTTAAGAATAAAATAAATACGGTAGGGTTTCAGCCACCCCTCCTACCTTGGGCCCTTTCTTTATTTCGGGCTGTTGTTACTTATTACCAGGACTCTAGAATTATTGTCTTCTCTCCTTTATACAGTTCTTCTCACACACTCCCTGCAGAACTGCTAGATTTCTGCCAAGACTCTCCATCCTCTCCTGGCTTCCCTTGGCCTCTACCTCTGGATGTCCCAGCCCACACAAAATCCTTAGGAGATTCTCCCAAAAATGCACTTTCCCAGGCCCCATTCCGGAGAGAATCAATTCAGTATATGCAGGGTAGAACTGGGGCCATAAAATTGCTCAGACTCTGATGCACAGGTCCAGAGGCAGAGGCCAAGTTCAGGTCTTTCCCAGCAAGGATTTGAGGCTTGTGAGAGGTGGTCACAGCCCACCTGACCCTACAGCAATGCCCAGGCTGCAGCCACGTGCCTTCCTTCCATACCTTTGCTTCTGCTGTTATTCTCACCTAGAGTGTCTTCCCCTTTCTCTTTGTCTGTCCAAATTCTACCCATTTTCAAGTTTCTACTCAAGTTCTAACTTTTACTCTAGAAAGCCTTCTTTGACCAACCTGGCGAAACGTGTCCTCTCCTTATTTTGGACTTTGGTGTCCCTGCTCTGTTATTTCATTTGTTTTACATCATTTGTGTAGAGAGTATAAATTGGTACAGTCTTGGTTTTAAACTCTTTGCTGGTGATGATAATCCCATAAAATCATAGGGACTTATGAACTACCAGAAAAGGATAAGATTGAGAACGTGACAGTTGTTAAACATAAAAACCTGAACTATGGACAATTGAAAGACAAACCATACAAAATGGATTCAGAGGGGATTTTGGCCAAGATCCCTAAAGATTCCTGGCAATTATCAAGGCATCTCAAATTCACAATGAACAACCAAACAGAAACTCCTCAAAAACAGTTCTTTTTCTTGGGTAAATAAGGCGATAGTCAGCAGTCAGTTTTGCCCTGTCCAAAGCTTTCTAACTACAATAAAAAACATAAAATTACTGTTCAAAGAGGGAAACCAAAAGTTACTTTAGGCTTAGAGAAGACTACGAGATATCTTAGTTAGGATATTTCACTTCCCTGTAATCCAGAGCATGCTGGGGAGCTGACTTCCTTTCATCTGGGAATGTCTTTGGTTAGTGTCCATTGGGTCTCCCTGTTCCATGGTTGATGACTATTTTTTCCTCTATTGCAGATGATGGGAGGCAAGGGCCTTAAACAGGCCACAGAAATTGCTATTTTGAATGCAAACTACATGGCCAAGCGGTTAGAAAAGCACTACAGAGTCCTTTTCCGGGGTGCAAGAGGCAAGTATGAACTTCAGTCTATATTCACTTTGGCCTTTTTCTTAGCCAAACCAAGTTTGACCTAGTGGATGTGACTTGCAGAAGTGGGTGGGAAACTTCTGTTTCTCAACCAGAGTAAAGCCTAGAGGTACTGGAAATAACTTCCATTTTGTAAACAGCTTAGGGATATTAGTAGGGCTCTGCCATGCACAACTCACAAGGACCACACCATAGAGAGACATGAGCTTCTTACCTCCCCCACAGCCATGAGAATGAGTGGAATAATTCTAGTTGGGAGAGCCTTCTGGGAGGAGCCTTTTGAGATAAGCCTGAAAGGAAGCACAGCAGAACCCCTGTATCTGTAAACAGAGATACAGAAGCAAGCTAGAGAGAAAGGAGTTGTCTGAGTGTTGGGTGGCTGAAGGACGGGATAGGAGGAGAGGGAGCATGGGCTTTGAGGGTCTTGGAAGGCTCTGGATTCCACCCTTGGGCCGGAAAGGTTTCTGGGCAAGGGAATGACTGGATTAAGAGGATGTTAATATCATTTAGACAGTGGCAGAGGATGAGCATGCTGTTAGAAGTAGAATCAGAGGACTTATTTCCTAATTAATTAGTTGAGAGTAAAAACCTTTTAGGGAAGCCTCTACAGCTTACAATGGAGGGAGGGAGACAGAGATGGAGGGACTAGGTCTCCCTGGAAGTGACGGGAGGGGCTGGCGCAGGTGGACTTGCCGAGGTGTGGCCCTGGTCACAGAGTCTGAGAGCAGACTCTTGGAAGTAGTGAGACCCAAGGCAACCATATTGAGAAACCAGAGCAAAACCTCTCAAGTGGATGGCTGCATGGAACGGGTGCAGGAAAAGCAGCGCCTGGTAAGGGGGCACCTGCACTGAGGTAGCGTCGGGCTCCCCACTTCCCACCCCTGGCGTTTCCCTGGCACCCATCAATCCTGCCTCCGCTCTGGCCACACCTACTCCCTGAGGCTGTCCTTTCCTTTCCTGGTGGTGAGAACTACTGCTCTTGGCTCCTTCCACCACAAGGCGTCTCCCACTCACTCATCGTCGGCCCGCTCCTGCAGACCTTGAGCTCCTGCAGCAGGGAGGCTGTGGCTGCCTCGGTCCCTGGCGTCGTGTCAGCACATCACACACAGTCAGCACCCGTGGGCGGGCCGGCATGACATGGAGGCGCAGCTGAAGAGCAGGTGGCTGCCCTCTCAAGTCTTAGAAAGGACCCATGCCTTTCACAGCTAGGATGCCTCCTGTCACCTTTGAAAGCAGCTAGGGCCAACAGCAAGGCCAGGGCCAGATGGAAATGGGCTGAGGCGTGGACTGAGGTCTGGAGAAAGCAGACACTTTCATGGTCTGGGGGCTTTAGTGTGAAGGGGGCAGGAGCTGCTGCAATAGGATGCAGCTTCATTCATTTTTAAATAAGAGAATAAGGTGATTTTAAGCTGCCAGGGGAAAGGCTGTGAAGAGGTGAGAGTGAAGCTACTGTAGAGGGACTAATAGGAGAGGCATCAAGTCACCCTGGAGGTGGTGGGAGGGGTTGCCCTCAGAGTCAGGTGGGGAGGACCTGGCTGTGGCCGCAGATCAGAGAGCAGGGACCGCCAGGTGTTGAGCCTGGGGCAGAGAGAGCAGAGAGCAGTCAGTAACCAGAGTCCAGCCCCAGGGCCACAGCAGCAAGGCCCTGCTTCGTCTCTTGGCCTGTGTGCCTCTCCATCTGTGATCTTGCTTTGTGAATATGTATCCACAAGGGTGGTTCCAGAGTTTGAAAATAGAAAAGAACTAAATAATCAGGAGCTCTGGTTAGCAATGCTCCCCAGAGAGGAGAAAAGAACATTGTGGGCAATATGTCTCTAAGCAACACAATGAAATGCTTCTGAAGTGGGTATTAAAGAAGCTACAAGAGCTACTAATTAATTCAAATATAGCTCCTGTGCTGTGAGATGCATCCTGCTTCTGTATTGGCCTTTAGGATAGCATCAGTCTTGGTTTTGTCTGGCTATATAAGTCATGTGCATGTGCTCAACATGGAAAATTTGGACAAAGAAGTTTGAGGAAGAAAATGTAAATGATCCATGGTTTCATCAAGCAGACATAACGACTTAATATTTTGTTGTATTTCTTCCCACCGTACTTTCAGACAATTTAGATCATATTACAAACAGCTTGCATCTTGTTTTTTTAAACTTTATTTTATATCATGATCATTTCCCTTGTCATTAAATGTCATTTGAAAGTGGCTATATCCATTCTATGGTATGTATCGTGTATCAGATTCTATGGGGTTCCCTCACCACCACCACTGCATTATTTGTATTTGTAACAAAGCTGCAATGAATACCTTTTACTTTTTTTTTTAAACACCCCTGATTATCTGCATAAGTTAGAGTTGTAGAAGACAAATTATCTCTGGATATGATTGCATTTACGCACTTGAAATGTTTGACCTTGTCTCCCCCCAGATCCTTAATTCAAACTTTCATCACACTAACAGCCTATCGTAACAGACCATCGTACCAGGGCCCAGTGAGCACCAACTGCCAGGCTGGGAACACAAACCAAACCCAAAATGTTTTTGCCAATGTGATGCATGAAAATAATCTTTTTGCTTTAATTTACAAGGTATAGGGTACTTTTTTCCAAATTGTTAAATAATTTTTTATTTAATACTTCCTTAGGATTAAGTTTGACAACTTCATTGAGATAGGATTCACGTACCATGCACATCACCCACTGAATTTCAGTGGTTTTAGTGTGTTCACAGGGCTGTGAGATGCAAACCTGAGTTCCTTAGAGCGAGAATGAATGTGGTGTGAACCGCATGGGGGTAGACGGTACTCGAGGAGGGGAAAGAGAACAAGTACTGATCAGGTGCCTGTCGTGTGCTTGGTAGCAAGTGGCTGCTTTAGACAGAGGCTGTCCCAGGAGATTTGTAACACAAAAAGATGGATGAAATTTCCATTTGTTTTGACATTTTATCCCAGAATTAAATAATGAATTGTATTTCTCGTCCCGAGCAGAAATAGATTGGTGATTACAGACTTTATTACCCAATCCCAAAGTTCATGAAACAAAACTTGTCTCGTGTTTGGTCTGGTAAACACATTCATTACACAATCAGAGGTTTGGTATTTTAGGGCCTAAAAAAGAATGATCACTGTACCTCCTGATGGCCCAAAATAGAAATGTTCTTAATAAACACTTTGTATCCCAGAATGTCTAATGGCGATATCAGAAGACCATTGCTCATCTTAGTCATATTTACCAGCTCTAAATAAGACTGGAATTATGGGCGACTGTGAGGCAATAATTTTAATGAACTACAGGCATTCCTCACCCACCCCACCCCACCCCCCCTTTTTTTTTGCAGAGCGGTAAGACTTGGGGAATCTTCGCTCTCCAACCAGGGGTAGAACCCCTGCCCCCTGCAGTGGTAGCATGGCGTCTTAACCATGGGACCCCCAGGGGAGTGCCCAGGCTTCCCTTTATGAGCCATTTCTTTGAGAGATTTGAAAATACCAGCTAAACTTGTTGAAGCTTAGGGTTTTGTGAAGCAAGGAATTGATAGGCAAGAATTGGGATGGGGAGTAGCAGTAGTATTTATTCTGCAAGGATGAGGAAAGGAATTGCCTTGGGTAAACAGGGGCGTTTTGAAAGGGGGAATTGAAAATGTTCACAAGTGTCTGCTTTTGTGGGAGGCTAGGCTCACTGCATGATCTAAGCAGAGTTCTTGTCAGTGGAACAGACCATTTTGTTAGTGTCCCAGTGTTTTCTTTATGTTTCAACTTCTTAAATGCTTGTCCGTTTCTGACCTTAGACAAATCTTAACTCTGCCTGGAAATTCTTGTCTTTGAGGAGTTTTCCTGGTGGCCTTTATAGGCTGGTGGACATGGGCTTCAGCCTGGCTGGGACGTGACCTCCTGAGGCTAGGGGCCCCAGCCATCTGCCCTCATTCCCAGGAAAACTGGCCTGTTGATGCTGTTTGTTGTGGTCCCTGGATTGCAACTGAAAAGCATGACTGAGTGTCGATTGCCCACCCAAGCTTTCTAGTTAGCGAGTGAGTTCCATTTATTTCTAGGCACTCACTCTGAGGATGCAGGAAGAGTAAGTTCCGGTCTGGGGAAGTCTTATATTTCTGTAGCACTTTCCCAGCCTTGTAAGATAATTCATGAGGGGTTGGGAGAGGGATGTCCCAAGCGTAGAGCCAAGCCACTTCTATTTTGCTTTTCTATCACCTCCTGCCCCCATCCCTGGCTTCTTTCCTTGCTCCTTTGACTTGCTATCGTTTCAGACTCTCAGTTATAGTCATGGTTAGGCCCTGAGGAAACACCTACTCACTGAAAATTAAAACTTGCACTAATCAGTTTATACAATTTCTACTTCAGATTCCTCTGACTCACCATATGCCATAGAAGATTTGTATATCTTTTCTCCCTAAAAACTGCAAAGATGATCAACAACCACGAAGTTTAAATGTCACCCCTTTTCAGGCTCAAGTAGAGAGAGACGCTGAAATCCCACTAACAGTTTCCATTTGAACATATTAGAATATGGATATAGAAAATAACATCTGAACCTCATTTTGGAAGTGGAACTCTTCCCAAACCACTTGGCCTTGGCAGGGGCCTCTGCAGATGAAGTCTTGCTTTAGCAGCGCTGGGCTGGGCTGGGCTGGGCTTGATGGGGCCTTTCAGTAACTGAACCTTTGCTTGAAAGACTGTGCTGTCTGCCGGCCAGCAAGAGAGACTCCTCCCCATCATGAGCCTGTCTCCTCCTCCCCTCCTGCCAGCTGAGTGTTCCGCAGAGCAGAGCAGAGCACTGAGGTCCATTAGCCTTTTTCTTTGAGTTGTTGTTACAATGCCAGGGTGGTTGCCAGAACCTCAGAAAAGAAGGGTTGAATCTCAAGGCTTGGCTCCCCAATTGTGGTAGCATAGTGGGGCATTTAGGATTCCTGAAATTAATAGCTGATGAGGAGTTAAATAATTTCAGTTTTCCCCCTGAATATTCCAGCTGGTCTTTTCTTTAAAGCACTTTTTTCCCCCTCTAAATTTATCTACCTCTGAATACATTTTTCTCCTTTTTTTTTTCCCCCCAGTCTTCTTTCACATTTTTCTCCTTTTGAACCATATTCCTTACTATTGAATCATCATTGTTAGAAAGCTTGTTTTAAAGATATGTGGTGACAGTATATTCAAAGTCTTCATACTTTTTATTTACAAACAAAGCCAACCCCTTCATATGTATTCATCACACAAGAAGCAGAGCAGTTCAGATTTTGTCTTCAGGGGCTGTTAATGACTAGAGCTATTCTCCTCAGGACTGAGAAGTTATGACTGCTCCAAGTATCTTTAAGTAGATTCATTGTTTGCTGAGAATCAGGATAGTGGGTTAAGAAGGGGTGCATTATTTTTTACTGAGTAGATACTTTCCTTGAAGATAATTCATCAGTTATGTAGGCCATGGCATTTGGGAAACTCCCAGGAATGTTGTTCTATTTAAGAAAATGCTGACTTAGTGGTTTATTCTTGATGTTGGATGGGTGGTCAACAGCTCATACTGGGGAGATGGTGGCCTGAGCCTAGAGAAGCAAAGTGAACTGACCGCCACAAGACTTCAGCCTCTTCAGCTCCTTGCCACTTGTGGTATGCTGTTCAACAGCCTTATTTCTAATTCTCAGTCTGAAGCCTGAAACTGAAATCTCAGAAGCCCCTTTGAAGAATCATATAAAATTCTGTGTCTTATATATATACATTTTAGTATATATTTACCTGCCCACAGAAGAAACCATTAATTGGATATTGGGAGCAAACTTGTTGAAAAATGTATCAAGAAGTTTTAACACTAGAAATATATAAAAGGACCAGGCATGATGACGTGTTGATTTTCAGCCTCTTGAGTAAAAATGGGCTCATCCCCAGGGACCTTAGTAAGCCTTCCAGCTCCTGTTTTCTGCCACCAGCTTCCTAGTTCATGGGTGTGTAGAACAGTGAGGATGGAACAAATTGGCATGACATGTTAACAGTTTTTATATGTAATAAGAGCAGATGAAGGCTTCATTGTCAACCATAACTTACCAAGTACCCATTGTTCCTTGATCCTCAATGATATGCATTAAAAAGCTGATTTATTTGCTCATTTTCTTGGGTAAAACAAGCTGATGTTAATCGTGAACGGAAATAATTTTTCTCAACAGGATATGTGGCTCATGAATTTATTTTGGATACAAGACCCTTCAAAAAGTCTGCAAATATTGAGGCCGTGGATGTGGCCAAGAGGCTTCAAGATTATGGTGAGTGGTCTCACAGGAGAGACCCCCTTAAGGAGAACTTGGATTTCTGACATCTATGCAGCTGCCCATCCTGGTTATGGACCACAGACTGAATGTGTTTGCACCACAGTAAACTGATCCACAGGCTAAATGGCGAGCCGTAGACTGTGGGTAAAGAAAAAACTTTCCCTATGGCCCCACAGATTCTGTCCTTTGAAAGATATTAAATCACATATCTTGAATCCATCAACAGCTAGGAAAGGAGTCTTTATTGTTAACAGAATTTAAAATCCCAAAGAAAATGATTGCTGTCTTCTGTCCATGTTTCTGGTAAGTTATTTCACCTGTCCCACTCCTAGTAGACAGAGAGGGCCATGAAGAGGTAAGCTGGTGTGATGGTAGAGGAAGTGGAGAGCCTACAATGTATAGGAATATTGGATGAATGGCATTTGAGTTTTATGGCATTTGAGCCACCTCAGCTGTGGCATAACTGTTTCAGCTGCTGCTAGAGATGCAGGAATAGGTGCACCTTGTTTTCACAGAGAAGATGCAGTTTTCTTTGAAGCTTTTTTTTTTTTAAAAAATCTGTGTATTGTTAGTGGATGTTCACTCAGCATAGGCTTTATTAAAATACATTTTCTTAGTGACATTAGTAACATCAAAGACTCTTCAATTCTCAGGAAGGCTACGTTGGGGAGAACTTTGCCTTTTGATGAATGTGGAGTCTTATCTGAATTTTAACATGATTTGAATGACTTCTTTTAATAAGGACTGTGAAAACTTTAATAATTTTATAGTTTTACTACTGTAACAGGAGTCCCACATACTGACTCATTTCCTCCCATGAATGAATGATCTTATTATGCAGAATTACTCTGATAATAAATGGGAAAACCAGAGATGGTTTTCATTAATGAAATTAGCAGTTGCTTCAGAATCTCCTCTTGACCACTCTTGTGACCTGACTTAACCTCCCGGTCAGTGACTAACTCAGGATGAGTCTTCATTTCTGGGGTGTGTGGTCTGTTTCCCACATCTGACTGCAGCAGCATTTCCAGGGAGGGAGGCGGGGGATGGGGGTAGAAGAGAAGTGGTATTTGGAGTTACTGCCCAGTATTCTCAAGTTCTGTTCTATCTACAACCGTGATATTTCAATGTTTAATAGAGTGATGGCTACACTTGCCATAAGCTCAGGATGGTCTAGGTGTCTGGCACATAGGAAGCACTCAACAATTGCGTTTAACAAGTGAGAGAATAAGTGAATGGCTCTAAAAACAAACAAACAATGAAGATGACAACACAGATTCTGGGTCTTAATCACACCTACTGAATCAGAATTCCAGGGATGAGACACAGTGATCTGTATTTACAAGTACTTCATGGATGAAACTTATCAGGTGTGTGAGAGGCACCCTGCCAGAGGGCAGAGATTTCCAAACTTAACTTTGTTAACTTTTTATTTTATATTGGAGTATAGTTGATTAACAGTATTGTGATTAACCTGATTCTGAGTTTTTAAAGGCTCATACCTTGAATTTCCTGAATCAGTCAAAATCCAGGAATCTGTGTTTCCATGACAACTCAGATGGTTCCAGATATGGGAACCACTATTGCAGAAAATATTGGGCTGAATTTGCTCACTCATGGAATTGAGGTTGAACTTAATGGGTAATGAGATCAGCTTGTTGTTTAAAAAGAAAACTCTTTCTCTTTTGGGTGACACAGTTGTATGCATTTGTCAAACTTAATTAAATGGTACTTAAAATTTGTGCATTTCACAATAAGTAAGCTATCACAAAAACAGATACTGAATTCAGATATGGAACTCTAGTTAATATGCATACTGAAATGTTTAAGGGGGAAGTGTACAAATGACTGTAAGATGCTTGAAAATGCATCAAAACTAAGGCAAATGCCTTAGATATGTGATAGGAGTAGATGACTGTGCTTAGTCACTCAGTCATGTCTGACATTTTGTGATCTCATGGACTGTAGCCCATCAGGTTCCTCTGTCCATGGGATTCTCCAGGCAAGAATACTGGAGTGGGTTGCCATGTCCTCCTCCAGGGGATCTTCCCAACCAAGGGATCGAACCCATGTCTCCCACATTGCAGGTGGATTCTTTACCAACTGATATGTGATAGGAATAGATGACTAGATAACACGATAAAGCAAACAGCATCATTGTAGAAGCCATGTAGGTGTGTGGGTGTTCACTCTATAGTCCTTTCAACTTACCAGTATATCTGAAAAACTTTATAATAAAATGAAGAAGACAGTCCTCTAAACAATGCAGGCATGACTCTAAAGCACCCCATGTAATGCTGCACACCAGAATTTGGGAACCATTGACCTCCAGGGCAAACTTAATTGACAGGGATATCAACCTAGGAGCTGTTCTCCATCTTTTCACAGGAAAAATTTGTAAGAGTTGGGAAAAAGTTGTTTTTGGCTTTTGTCCAGGAAATCTCTCTCTTAATCATATTTTGTCGATTCATCTTAATATGTGAAAACTTTTGGAAATATAAAGAAATACCTTCAGCCTGTATTCAGTGTAAATACAAAGACTTTATATATCCTGGCCAAGATTCAATTTCCTCATCTGTAAAATAAGGACAGTAACACTCACATCAGGGTCCTTAATGCTTGTTACCTCATTATTTAGCTTTTGGTAAGCTATAATATTTTAATTTCTCTTAATTGCAAGTAATACATGAACATTATAAAAAGATTCTAAAACACTAGGTAAAATAAAAACCCTAGTCTCATTTTCTGGCAATAATCCTGTTAATATTTTAGTATTTATTCTTCTTCGAAACAGCTCCTCTCATAAAATATACACACATATATATAAATATGTATATATACACAAACATATATAAATGTATGTATGTGTATATATCTATGCATATATATAGTCATTTTAAAAACAAGACAATATCATTATGTAGCCTGCCTTTTTCACTTAAATTGGGTAAATGTTCAGAGCTATTAACAAATACAAATTTAAATGCATGGAATTATCGCATATTTATTGTATAAGATACCCATGAAAATTTGCCTACCTGATCCTCTACTGTTAGATGTCATGTTATTTCCTAAGCTTTTCTTCCATAAACAGTGCTGAAGTGAATCCCTAGACATACCCAATAGCAAACTTTTCAGATTGTTTTCCTTGGAATAAATTTTAAGAAGTGGAGGGTCTCTTCTTCCAAACTGGGGAGGTCAAAGTTAGTGACAAAATTCCCCCATCTCCTTGGCAGGATTTCATGCCCCCACCATGTCCTGGCCGGTGGCAGGCACTCTCATGATTGAGCCCACCGAGTCAGAAGACAAGGCGGAGCTGGACAGATTCTGCGATGCCATGATCAGCATCCGACAAGAAATTGCCGACATTGAGGAGGGCCGCATCGACCCCAGGGTCAACCCACTGAAGGTACAGAGGCACTGGTACTTTATCTAAAATATCCCAGAGAGCAGAAAACAGTGTCTGGGTAGGGTGCTGGCAACCTCTGAACTCTTACTGGAAGATGATATCCTTGCCTAGAATAAGACTTCTTCTGAGAGGATAAATTCATTACCTGAAAGTTTAAATCTTGAATCAACACAGCAGTGGTTACTCAAGTATAATGTGGTTATTTCTGATATGTTCTAATTTTAAATATCTGTTTAGTGGTCACTTGTTGGTTTTACATATTTGTTTGGTGCTGTTACCCCACAAGGACCCAGTTGGCTGTCAAAGGAGGGAGCAGAGACTGATGGACTCTATAGTTAGAGAAGTCTTACCATTCTGTATCTCTGTTTGATGCTCTCTACTGAGATTATTTACCTTTTATGCTCTGGATAAAGATATTCTCATATTGGAATAGTTACCTCTTAGAACAACCAGACTGGTACTTGGCCTGAATGTTTTACCATGTTTATGGCCTACATTGGAGAAAAATTTGTTAAACATTGCTTCGCCTCTTCAAAACTATGTTCCTTTTATATCTGGTCAGAGCCCAGTTTTGTATTAGGTCCAGCCATTGTTAAGCTGAGGGATCATGAACTGAAAATACTGCAAATGCTGTGGTTGTATCATTATGGCTCCAAGCCAGAGAAGCAGTCTGAGATGTGCAGAGGAGCTCAGACACATTCCGGAGCTGCCCCGCTGAAGGTGGAGCACTGGGACCAATGGCTGGCGGGAAAAGGCTGGTCCCGTGCGAGTCTCATGGGATAGTGGAGGAATATAATATGATTTGCTCTCATCGGTTTTTCTCTGGATACTGATGATTCTTTCAGGATTTAGACAATTTTTTAAAAAAATGGCAATAGATGTCTAAAACATATAATACTGAGATACAAAAGCAAGTGGAGGATAAAACACACACAGGATACTATAAGGTTTAAAAGTGTACCAAACTAGGCTCTATGCAGTTTATTAACATATACAGTAGTAGTATAAAAACATGAGATTCATGACAACCAAATTCAAGATAGTGGCTGGCCCTGGGGAAGAGGGCCAGCAATAAGATAGAGAGGGGATAGGCTGGCATGGTCAACCATATCTGTAATGCTTCTTATTTTAAAAGCTTAAGCAAACATGACAAAATGTTGATTTATGTTGGGTGGTAAATGTGTTTATTATGTTATTGTAACTTTCTGATATTTGAAATATTTCACAATAAACATTTTCCTACCAGAATTTCCTTCCCCACAAACTGAAACAAAACAACCACCCTCCATCCATGGGCTTTCATCAGTTCACTGGCAAGCATGATGAGAAGTGGAAGGCAGGCTTCTGCTCTGACCCCTCTCATATCCATTGTCTTTGTCTCAGATGTCTCCACACTCCTTGACCTGTGTCACATCCTCCCACTGGGATCGGCCGTATTCCAGAGAGGTGGCAGCATTCCCACTTGTAAGTTCTCCTCTGAAGCTGGACACGCCAGTTGGTCCAGGTTCACGTGCGTATGAGGGGCCATCACCCAATCCGAGGGCTCCACTCTTTTCGTCCCCTCACTATAGCAGCCCCAAGAAACTTCTCCGAATACCCCAGGTCATTTCTGTCTTTTGTCCCCTGCAGCCCTTTGTGAAACCAGAGAACAAATTCTGGCCAACCATCTCCCGGATTGATGACATCTATGGAGACCAGCACCTGGTCTGTACCTGTCCCCCCATGGGTGTTTACGCATCCCCGTTTTCTGAGCAGAAGAGGGCCTCTTCTTAGTGTTCTCTCCCTCGTTCAAGTGACTGACTTGATGCGCTTCAGAGCATCTCATGAAATATTTCATTTTCCACCACAGACTCAAGTAGGAGCTTTGTATACTGTGTATATTCTCTCAAGGTGAATGTAAATACAGTTAGCACAGTGGGTGGAAGCTCATCGTTGGAAGGTTGATTTGCTTTGGTGCCTCTGCTTCCACACATAGCAGTTGCCTTGATTGGGACCCTTTAGTTTTTTGCATAGAAGATTTGGAGTGTGCTAGTAACTTTAACATCAATGTAGCAAGTCTAAAGATGTTATAGAGGCTATACTGGATATCCAATAGACATTTTTATTCCAAATAAGTCCTTGTGGACTGTGCCATCTGTGGGAAACCCCAGGGCAAATGTTTACATTTTGTATACACTGAAGAAATCTTTTTCCTCCTACTAATTTACTCAATCTGTAATAGCATTTGAGTGTTTTCATTTTTCCGTATGTGTAGTTTTTAAGTCTGCAATTAATATTCTAATAAAAGCATTGCAATTTGAAGAATGCCTTTTTGATCCAATTTTCAGCATTAACTCCCTCATATCCTAGGTACAGAGGGGTTTACAGGGTAATAATATCCAGCCCAGTAGAACTGTTACATTATCAGTTGTGTCTTTGGCTAAAGAACCCGTTTGTATGTCTTAGCAGTGATTGCCACTTTAGCCCTGTTAAAATTGCATTTGGCTGCATATATCTAAAAAACAACCACAGCAGTTTAATAAAATAATTTATTTTTTTCTCATTTAACAGTAAGTCCAGAGGTAGTAAGTCAAGAGCTAGTCTTCAGTCTTACTATTCTGCCTCCTTTGCATGTAGTCTTCATCTTCATGTTCCTAGGATGGCTGCTGCATACCCGGGCACCAGATACCCATTCTAGGTAGGGAAAAGGAAGAGAAACAAAAGACAGAGTCTATCCATGTTGGCTTCTTTTGGAATATTTTTCCAGAGGTTCCACCCAATAACTTCTGCACTTTTACTAGCCAGGCTTAGTTCCGATTGCCACTCTGAGCTTCAAGGGGCTATGAGGTCTTTCACCTGGGCATGTTACTACCCTAAGAAAATCAGAAGTTTGTTAACTGAAGAAAAGGAGAAGGAGTTTCAGGTAGGCAACTAGCATGCCTGTCACAAATAACTTTCCCATGTAAATAGCAAATGCTCCGGATGTTCTTCTCCAATTGTTACTGAGTATCTGCTTTAATCCTGACTACTTGGTTCCTTATTACTCAGACAACTGTTATTTGACCTGTTACAACAGTGATCTGGACAAAAGGTCTGAGCACTCTACTGAATGCTCTGCAAGTGGTCTACTTAATCTCACACTTAAAGTCTGTAGAACTCTTCATTTTGGCCAAAGCAGTAGAGAATTGATGGGATCCATGGTTCCTTTCTTACATAATAATTAAATGATAAAGATCTGAGTCCTTCTCAAGTATTTATCTGAGTCCTTCTCAGTAAATACTCCCTGGAGTATGTTTGGGGCAAAAGCAGGTGATTCACAGAGTTGAAGTAAACTGTGTTCACTGCTCATGTGTTCTCCTGGGTCTCTGCTTGTGTGGCATCCTCCCCCTGGAGCACTTGTCTCACCACCTTGCTTTGCTGGTGCCTGTTCTTCATGTTTCAGCAACTCTTCAGGTCTTCCACACGTCTCTGTGAAATGGGCTGTTATTTTCTAGTTTGACACTGTTATCCTACACTCTCTGCACAGTTAATAATTATTGTTTACTTGGTTTTTATCTGCCTCACTATAAATTCTCTGAGAGCAAGGATCATATCTTATTCATTACTGGATTCCCAGTGCCGAGCTAGGGCTTTCCACGTAGTATGTGTTCAAAAAACAGCTGTAGTTTTAGATCGTTAGCTGGAAGGACTTGCTTCTCCATTTCTTACCCCAATGTTTTACCAATCTAAGCCTGGGGACACCCCACTGGAGAAAAGCTTTGAGTCTGTAGAGCGGATACACTCATCCACAATCACTGCCCCATGCTGATCCCATGTAAAGGGGGGAGATAAAAAGTGGGCTTTTCCCAGTGCTAGTGGAGTGTCATCATCCATCACCTCTTCTATGGAGAGCAGTAAGAGGTAGGCTGGGGGCAGGAGTGTGACCTCAGTGAGGTCGTTCTGCAGAATGTCCAGAGACAAGAATCCAGGAAGCAGGAGTTGGTGTCCAACATGGAGCACATGCCTTTCGTAAACAGCACAGGACAGCAACCAGGGTACCTGCTCTGTGGTCATTCATATCCCGGCTGCCCTACATCCTACCTGTATGGCCTCAGAAAGGATAACCTGCATCTCTGAACTTCAGACTCCTAATCTGTAAAATGCTATTACCTACCACTCATAGGTGGGGGAGAATATATTGTTTGGAAATGTCTGGCACAAAGTAAGTGCTCTTAAATGTTAGCTCTTGTACCCTCATTCTAAACTTAGGGTCTGAAAAAATAAAATAAAATAAACAAACTTAGGGTCTGGTGTCCTATACTCTACACCCTATACTCCTTGACCCAGCCCAGGAGCCCTACTCCAATTTAACCTACCTTGCATTCAGATCCACCTTCCTTTCCTTCCCTAACAGCCCCTTTCGTCTGGACCATCAGAAAAGTAGAAGGAACATGAGTTGTGACTTCATACAGATTGAATTAAATTCTCAGATAAACCAACTTTTTTGAGAAAACAAGCAAATTCACTTATCTTTTCTGCATTTCAGTTACTTAAGGTATAAAATAGCAATAATAAAAGTACTTACCTTAGTCAGCCTTGTTGGAAAGGTTAAACAAGACAAAGTCAGTACTTGACATAGTGTCTGGCACTCAGAAATCACTAACTCATTCAGCAAACTGACTCATTATGTACCAGGTAACATTCTAAATGGATTCCCTGGTGGCTGCTTTAGCAGTCAAGAATCCACCTGCAATGCAGGAGACCCGGGTTCGATCCCTGGATCTGGAAGATCCCCTGGAGAAAGCAACGGCAACCCACTCCAGTATTCTTGCCTGGGAAATCCAGACAGAGGAGCCTGGTAGGCTCTATAGTCCACAGGGTCACAAAGAGCTGGACACGACTGAGCACACACACCATTTCAATGACAGATGAACAGATGGATACAAGATGAGTAAGAAAGTTAAGGCCTCTTTCATGGGGCATCAATTCTAGGTGGACAAACACATAAAGATTTCACAGGGTTAAATATTCGTTAGAAAACAAAAACCAGTATGGTACGTGGCTAGGGGTTTGGGACTCCTTTATATTGGATGGCCAGGGAAGGAAGGACTCTCTTACAAGGTGACTTGCAACCTAAAATCTGAACAAAATGGAACCAGCCATGACTAGATGTGGGAAAGAGGGGTCGGAGGTGTTCAGGAAGAGGGAGAAGTATGTTTGAAGATGTTAGTATATGTATTTTCCTTCTTGAAGCATTTGGCTATTTTCAGTCTCATATGTAAAGGGTTTAAAGAATCCCTGGGAAATAAGGTAGGAAGAAAGAAGATGAGGAATAAAGGCTGGGGTTGAAGAAAGGTGTTGGGAGTATTTCTGAAATCAAAAATGGGAAGGAGGGATTTGGGCCTACAGTCAAGATCATAGGGGATGAAAATGGGGTCCAGAGAGAGAAAAAAAGGGGCCCTGGCTCAGGATGGAGGGCTTTGAGGGAAAAGGAGAAAAGGTATGGGGGTGAGGGGTGGGGTTTGGTCCTTAGGTCAGGAAGGGAGGGAAGGATTTGTAACTGGGGAAGTGGGGAGAGAGAAATGAAAATGGGGGAAAGATGCAGGTTAGAAATAGGAAGGAAATGGGGGAGGAGGTGGTAAGGGCCTATGGTGGGGACGGGAAGGATTCATATGCGGAAGGGGAAAGATCATCATTAGCTCAGTGCAAGACAGGTAAAAGATAAATTGACAGGAAAGAAAAGTCAGATGACGGGGTAGGGGAGGTGGGTGAAAGTGCTCCAGGGTGAGAAGGGAGTCAAGAGCATGAGCACTAGGCCCAAGTAAGCAGGTGGGAAGGAGAGGAAATCGAGAGAATGGGAAGGGGGATGGTTAAAAAGCTGACTTGAGAGCAGTCTCATAAAAGGAAGGGGTGGAGGCAGGAGACCCAAACTTGGGAGGGAGGCAGGCTGACAGAAAGCAGAGGAAGACGAGAGGAACAGTCATGAGGGGCAGGCGGCACATGGAGGGGGCAGAAGAGACCTAGGGTCCAAGTTCTCTGGATGAGAAAGAGGCTGGGAGGAGGGCCCAGATTAGTAGGGTGGGGAGGCCCTTCGATAAAAAGGGTGGAGGGAGGACCCCATGAGTAGGAGGGAAATGTGTGTGGGAGGGAGGGCCCTGAGAGAAGAGGAAGGACAGGAAGTCTTTCTTAGAAGCCAACTAGGCAGCAAGATGTCTGAATTGAGGAAAGCAAGTTAAGAGTGAAACCTAAGGCCAGAGGTAAGGAGGTAGGCAACAGAGGAGTGACTATCTTAGGGTTAGAATATCTGTGAAACTGAAAACTGAGAGTCCAGAGAGTGGCCAAGCCCTGAAGACAGGGCTAGTGGAAACTTCCCAGGAAGGGAGTCTGAGGGGCTGGCTGTGGCCACAGAAGTAGACAGGGCCCTACTGCACCTGTGTGGGCGAGTGATGTTCTCCTACTGCCGCCTCTTCTTACCACTTGCTTCATTGACTACTTGATCTCCTAGTCCTCCCCATTCAGAAGGGCCTCCCAGCTGTGGCTTTACCTGGCCAACTAACTTCAGAGCCTTAGCACACATTGTTCTTCTGGAGGTTTTCCCAGGTCTCTTTCCCACCTCTCATATGTATAACTCCCTGGGAATGGGGAATAAGTCCCTGATATTAAAGAAGCTACAATACCTGTTCTCAGATGACCCATCTCAAAGTTTTGGAACACATCGTCAATCTGGGGGAGGAGGCAGTCTCTGGTGCCTGGAACTGGGAAGGGTTACTAGATACCTTTTCTGTGAAAGCAGTGCTGCTTAACTATGGTTTAAGAGGCCTTTGAAGGCTAGCCTGGAAATCTACCTCTTTCCTCTGTATCATTGTTCCTACAGGAAATATTTATAAAATTCATGAAGAGATTTCATTTTCTACTTACATTAAGGTACAGGTTATGGCCATCATTCTTTTACAAATTAAGTTCTAAAATGCAGGTTGGAGAGTGCCTGCAACTTCTGAATTCAAGGGAATCAATGAATAATGGAAGGTTAAAAAAAAAATCAACTACAAATTATTTTTTTAATGGACCTCGATGACTCTCTATATGGGTCTGGATCTCTGGGTCTGGTCTAGGATTTTCAGAACCAATGCAAGAGAATTTTAGTGTGCTTCTGATCCATTTATTGCATTGTACTTTAACCTCACTAGTAAAAGCTTTTATATAGTTGGGAGTATGACATCTGCAATTTCCTACAAAAGCACGTCTGAGGAGCATTTGAAAAAACAAAACAAAATCTTGGTGAGATTCATAAGATTTAAGTGTTTTAAGTCAGAGCCAAAGTCATAAATTCCCAGAAAACAGGG